CCCGCCACGCCCCCTGCTGTGTAAGCGCGCGTCGCACCCTCGGGCGGCGCCCTCGGACGGCGAGGCCGCCGACAGCGCCGAGGAGCCGACCCTTCGCGACGTCCTGCTGCGCCTGGACAGCCTCGGCAGGGACCTCGACAAAAACATGAGCCAGCTCAGCAGGGACATGAGCAAGCTCGACAGGGGCGTGAGCAAGCTCAGCAGGAACATGAGCGAGCTCGACAGGGGCGTGAGCAAGCTCAGCAGGAACATGAGCGAGCTCGACAGGGGCATCAGCCAGCTTGGCAGCGGCGTGAGCAAGCTCGACAGGGGCATCAGCCAGCTCAGCAGCGGCGTGAGCGAGCTCGGCAGGGGCGTGGGCCAGCTTGGCAGCGGCATGAGCGAGACAGAGGCGCTGCTCGGCTACCTGGTTGAGGATTCGCTGCGCGGCAAGGCGGCCGCCGTGGTGGGGCCCGCCTATGTCGAGCCGCTGGTCGCGCGGTCCCTTGTGGACCTGGCGCGGATGTGGCCGCCCGGGTACGCCGCCAAGGCGGCGCCGGGGCGGGCGCGGCGGCCGCCGCGCGACCCGCTCCTGCGCACTGGGCACCTCGCGGCGTCCTTCGCTTCCGCCCTGGCCGACGCCCGCGTCCCGCTCAGGCTGCTGCTCGGCCTGCGGCCGCAGGCCATGGTAAGCGGGGCGTGAGTGCGGCGAGCGCGCGCGGCGCGCGGGCGCGTGCGGGGAGAGGGGTGCTCTAAAATCAGCGCCGCACGGGCCTGTGGGGCCGACCGCGGGAGCATTGCTGCAACGCGTCGCGTACGCCGCGGCAAGCTGCCCGGTGCAATTCTGATTGGGCGGGCGGGGGCGCGCCCAGCTTTGCGCCGCCCGGCCCAAACCACTGACCTCCCCTCTCCGGCCGCCTTGCGCCACAGTGCGACGACGCCAGCGCCCCCGCCTGGGTCGACGAGCGCGGCCAGCTGTGCGTGGCGGCCGTAGGCGACTCCATCGGCCGCGTGCAGGAGGAGGCCCTGCAGCAGCTGCTGTCCAAGGTCCTGCAGGCCGCCACGCTGAGCGGCGAGGAGCAAGTGGAGGTGGGTGCGCGGCGCGGGGCCCCGCGACCGCTCACGCGCCAGCCAGTGCATGTGCCTGGCTGGGCGTGTTGTTCTTTGGGGGGCAGGGCGCTTGACGTGGAGGTTGCGGCACGCAAAGGGATGGCCTCTCTTTCTCTATATCCGTATGCGCCGCTTAAAAGCGATCATTCAAGTGCGACGTGCCAATGAACGCCGCCGACCCCGCTGGCATGGGCGCTCGCTCGCAGGAGCTCCTCAGCCCCGGCGGCGCCGGCGTCGCGTGCGCCGTCGCCGCGGCTTTCCCTGGCGCTTACCTGGCCGACGAGGCCGGCGGCGCGGGCGACGTCGCGGCGCCCTATCTGCCGCAGCTGCCGCGGTTCCCCCCGGAGGAACTTGAGTTTGATTTCCGCGGCAGCATGAAGATCACGCCCAACGGCGCTTGGTGCGACATTGGCGAAGCCAAGTTGCGCACCGACTACAGCAGCGCCGTGCAGGAGCTGGGGCTGCGGCTCGGCGTGCTGCGCTGGCTGCTCGTTGCGTGCTGCGGCGTGCCGGAGCGCGGCGTGGACGCGGTCGGGCGGCTGTTTGTTCCGGCGTCTGGCGAGCTCCGGCCCGCCCCCCTGGACGAGAGCGAGGAAGAGGTGGCGCGCAGCGTGTGGCGGTTCAGGCTGCGCATGGACCCAGTATAGGGCCCGGCCGGGGTGGGGCCGCCCCACCCCGCGGCGGCGCAACGGGGGGGAGGGGGGCGCGGAGGGCGCACGCGCCGCGGCCGCGAGGGGGCCGCGCGCGCCACGCCGAGCGGCGCGGGCGCAGCGGGGTCCCAGGTTGCGACGCGTGCGGGGCGCGCCTCTTTCTTGCAGCGTCGGATGGCTGCGCCCATGGCCAACTTTGCAATCTGCAATCTGTTCCCTTTCCTTGTCTCCTGGCGGCGGGGGACCGGTTTCCCTGGGAGGAGCCTGCAGGCAGCAGGCTGGCCCTGGCAGCCTGCTCCCTGCACCATCACACGCTCTGCCCTTGTTGTGACTTCACACCCTCCCATGACACGCTTTTGCCCTCGCAGCTTCACCTGCCCCCTCTGCCGGCGGCACCCTTTAACATGCACCAGACACACATTTTCACTGAAACCCATCCGAGTTCTCCCCTTCCTGTCGTGTGCCGCGCGTTGCTTTGAGTGATTGCTCCTCACGGAAGCTCCCCGCGTGCGGGCATGCAGCGCGCCACTGCAATAGTGGCTTGGCAGTGCCGGCGCGCGCCCGACGGGCTTGA